TTGAGAGCCATGCAAAAATTTCATGCAGATTTTCTGAAATCATGCTAGAAAAAACATAATCTGAAATAAATATAGAAGCAAAAAGTATGTTCTCTTTAAAAAGAGATGGGATGATTTAATTCCCTCGCCTTGTCCCCTCCAAGCTGGTGAGAGGGACCTTGTCCTTTTGGGGACGAGCTCTGGCCCGGTCACTCCAGTGGGAGCAGGTTTTCTCCCTGGAGATCCCTGGAGCTTGGCTGCTCTCCCCATCTCCCCATCCCTACCTGGTGGCCAGGGGCCAGTTAAGACTGAGCTGGGAACCTCGTTTTTATCCCTCGTCACCAGGCGTTTTGTCTTAGTAATTGGAGTTTGTGCAATTAATGGCATTTGGCAAACTCAGCTGCACGGGATTGTCCATAAAAAGATAATGGGAAAGAATTATTGTCCAGACACGGGGAAAGCAGAGCCTTGGAGCTGGGTGCTGTCTCGCTCGTACGTATCATTGATACCATCCATCACTTTGGTGTTACCAGAAAAAGCTTTTAAAAATATTTTTTTTTTCCCCCCTTAACAAGTAGTGATCTGGTTGTTGCAGAAATCATATACTATAAAAGAAGACCTCTTTAAAGCAAAAGCTGTCAGCATCTTTATTTCCTCAATAATTGCTGGTTCCTTTTATCTGTTACTTAACGCTATCATTTTTTTAATTCCTGCTTTCTGTTCTTGGTCTTATTTTTCTGTGTGTAGTTAACTGTGCTTATTGTGCTTTTCAGAGCTTCTCCTTGAACTTCTTAAAACTACTGTCACTTATTCAATGCGGCGCCTGTCAATTAGTTTTGCTATTATCTGTGAGCTCCGGTTTCTGGTTATAATTTTTCACTCAATCTCAGAACATCAGTAAAAGAAGAGATTTCCTTGATGCTGCGGTGGAAGCGCAGGATCCGTTGGTACCACGGGAGGTTGGAACAGAAACACTTCTAGGATGGAGAACGTTAAGCTGTAATTGGATTTGGTTGAATTTGGAGCAGCGGAAAGATTTTGATTGTGGTGATACCTGGGGGCGTGGGTACCAGGGTCAGGGAGGCTGAAAATGCAAGGAGATGGAGGAGGAGTGTGTTTGCATTTGTGCTGTAAAAGAGCTAATTGTTTAAGGCAAATCATTCAATCATCATAATAATATTAATCAGGGAATAGGATTTCTTAAATGGATAATTTGCCCACAAAAATATTTTGAATTTTTCTTAATACTTAGGAGCTTTAGGTCCTTTGAGCAATCCTCTTGACTGGTAGTGGAGCTTCTGATTCTGTTTTCTTCTGTTGTAAATCTTGAGTGAAGTAATAAGGAGTCACTAAAAGCCGCTCTCATCGCTTGGCAATCTGGTTTTGTCTCTTGGCTTCCCCAGAGATTTTTTTTTTTAAATCCTTAACATCTCCATCCTCCAGGCTCCGCGAGAGCCTCTCACAGTCCCCAGATCAGTCTTCATTCCTTGTCCTTAACCATCAGCCTCAGATCAATCATCCCTGGAAGTGAAGTTTTCCTACAGACCTCCTGGCTCCATCATCCTCCTCCTCCTCCCGCCTCTCCCCAGCCCGGCCCCGGGCCGCAGCTGCCCTTCAGCATTTCCTGGTGCAGAAGAGCATCCTTCATCCAGACAGGGTGAGGAGGGATGCTTTTTGCTGCCTGTCTGACATTACTGTCATTTGGACAGAGAAAAAACCTGACTTGACACCATTTCCCCTTTTTCTCCTGAGGCAAGTGGAAAACAGATCTCATTAATCGTGACATTCCTAATAAATTAAAAAAAATCTCCATCCCTTGGCTTATCCCTCCCCAGATACGAGGTTGTGCCTGACACCCACAATTATTTTTTTTCTCCCATGTCTGCGTTGCTAATAATTTTATGCAGCCAGGGTTGCCTGATGCTGGGGAGGGACTCTGGATCAGGGAGGGGAGCCATAGGACAACGGGTAATGGTTTGAAACTGAATAAAGAGAGATTGAGATGATCATTCTATTATAATTACAATGTTGGTAACTTCATGGACAAGCGATGTTTTGTACTATAGTTTATTTTACTATAGTATTTTTTGATCATTTATTTTTTAATCATAGATTTATAACCCTGCACAGGGCAGGGGAACTCCATGATCTTTAAGGTCCCTTTGAACCCAAACCATTCTATTATAGTTACAATGTTGGTAACTTCATGGACAAGCGATGTTTTGTACTATAGTTTATTTTACCACAGTATTTTTTGATCATTTATTTTTTTAATCATAGATTTATAATTGCTGCTCTAATAATTCTGCTCATCTTCAGCGAAACCTGACCGCCAGCGTTTTCTCAGTATTGCTTCAGGAGACTATAACATATTATGACTGTTTAAAAATGTCTCAGTTCTTGTTTTGGATTTCCCTAGGGTTTTTTTTCTGCCCAGCGAGGCAGTTTGGAAGAGAGAGGTGGTGGGAAGGGGGCTGTTTCAGGCGGGCAGCATAAGCCTCCTTTTGTTCCCTCTTCTCCTCTGAACCTTGGCTTTCTCCCTGATAATGAAATTGAAAAAGTTTGGAAAATATTAAACGGGCCTAAAATGTTTGGCGTGGCATTGTTGAAAATTTGTGTTGGTGTATTTTCACACTCCTCCCACAGTTGTCTTTGTGGGTTTTTTGTTGTCTTTTGTATTATTTTTTTTTTCTGTTTGTGGGTTTTCTTGGTAAAGGGCCAGGAGCTGGGACGGCGCCAGGGATTTTTCTTTCACTGCATTCATGGCTGTTTGTGCCACTCTTTAGTCTCTTAATTACACGACTGTAATCTTCTTTGGTTCATTGTCCAAACAAAAGTTCAGTCCATTCAGCGTTATTTCGCTCGGTGCTGCTGCTGTTTCCATCATGTGTGAAATAAGAATTAACGAATTGGGTTCAGTTCCGCAAATGGCAGGTTTTCTTCTCAAAACGGGGTCAGTGTCACTTTTATGGTGGGGAAAGGCAAGAAGAGGTGTTCTCTCCCAGGGGACAATTTGTCGGGCCTGGAGGTGGGTGACTTTGGGTGGCTTTGGCTGGGTTTTGGGTGACCCTGGGTTTGGTGGGTGGGTGGGAACTCGGTCCCTCATATGATGACCTCTGGGGCTGCTTCACTCCCATCTCCTCTGCCCTAGGGGAAAACAACTTACTAAGAATATTTCCAGTAAAATAGGAACTAAGACAAGTCCTTAAAAAAAAAAGAGAAACAAAAATCACTCTAATTGCAAATTGTTTTTAAGGAATAGAAAACTTGGGTGGTTGGCTTTTTTTGGTTTTTTTTCTTTCAAAAAAGCACGTTTGTTAATAACATATTTCAAGAGTGATTCTTCTTGTAGGGAGTAATTATAAAGTTTGGAGAATCTCGTAAGAGAATCTCATAATAAGATTTCTGTCCTTATTTAGAGAAGAAAACTCAGTTTGTGTAATCTTCAAAATATCATGCTAATCAGCTAAACGAGTCAAGCGAAGAGTAGGAGTTGTCTGGTTGTAATCCCTTTTCTGGTCTTCTGATTGCAACCAAATGAACCCGGGGACCCCAGGAAAACAAGCTCTTCCAATAGGACACTTACCTTGGGATCCAGTTATAGCTAGAGGGGCTACCAAGAAGCTGATAAATGTTTTCATTGTACATAAATTAAAGCTTTTGTGTGCCTGATTAGTGGCAACAGACAAAGCAATGCTAATGGTTTTGCTTCTGAGTAGTTGGTGGGGTTTTTTCTTATTAAGGTCTGTGCTAAAATGAGGTGATAGTTGAAAGGACGTGATGTTTGTAACTGGCAGTTAAATGCTCTCCTGTACACACTGCAGTGATATTACTATGTAGTAAATGAGGTAGGTTTGGCTTTTTTGGAAAAATAGTATATTCTGGAAAACATGAGCTGTTGTAGGTGGTTGTATTATTTCTTAGTTGAGGTGACGTGCTGCTTTTTTGGGTAATATAATGTTTCTGTAAGTTCAAATTATAATTGTATTTTAATTAAAAAATATAGGTCTCTTGTGTGTATATATACATATATTATTTTTTTTAAAGTTGAAAAAGGGTGTTCTGTATCTCGATGTGTTGGATGGAGTGGGATGGAGCCATTCCCAGCCAGCTTGAAAAAGGGTGTTCTGTATCTCGATGTGTGGGATGGAGCCATTCCCAGCCAGTGCCAGCCCTGGAGTTTCTGCTCTGCCTTCTCTTGCTTTCTTATTTATTTTACTTTACACTTTTGTGGTCTTACCTCTGAAAGTTGGGTGTGATTTCGATAAGTACACAGGAATTCTAAATAAGGCAAGGTATTGCCCACTGCCATGGACTGAAAGCGTGGTGGTTTACAGCTCGGAGGGGCTTGCAGATAACCCAGACAATTAGCCCTGACAGCAGATGCCCTTGTAAAGTCAAAGGGAAGCAGGTACCAGCTCAGCCCCATGAAAAGATCATGGTTCCACGAGGTGAAGCATTAAAATGTTGAGAATGGAAAATACTCATCAGCAGGCAGCAGAGGTCATGCTTTAAATTACTTGCAAAGGAACTATAAAGATGCTCGTGTAATTTATTGTGCTATAAAACCTATTAGAGGTAACATTACCCAGTAATTCTGAAATAGTAATGCAGAAGAGGTTGCTTTTTGTCAATAAAAAGTAGGTAAATCTGTTTCAAAAAAACAAACCATGTGAATAGGATGTAGTTTTTACTCTGGGGGGAAAGAAAAAGAAACAAAAACTGATCTGTGAAGAGGAACGGGATATTTTGGTGCATTATGTAAACATCTCATAAACATCTCAGCAGGTAGAAATTGGAATATGCATAATACACTTTTGGGAGCTGAGTGGGGTTTATGATCCTTTTCTGTTGAGGATGCTGCAGAGCCGCTTGATAATCAGTATTTCTAAGCTGTGCTAATTGGGGGTACTTAACACAGGTACATACAACCCGTGATGTTACCCAGATATTTTCGTGTTTTCTTACAAGTTATGATAGGAATGATACATCTTTTTCTCTGATTTTTTTTTTTTCTCCAGGATTTTTGCTCTTTAAAGACTATTGCATGAATGAGATTGATGAAGCCGTCCCTCAGCTGAAGTTCTATGAAGAGGTAAGCGACTGGTGGTGGAGTTTTGGGGGACCCAGGGGGAGGGAGGCTGTTCTGCCCCCCAAGCCCTTGGGCAGGGGCTGCTGAGATGGGGGGGAGAGGCTTGGGAAGGGTCCCTGCTGTCCTCAGTCATTTCCACTTCGTAGTGGAATGGTTAAGTCATGAAAGATGCTATTTTATATAATAACCTTAAAGGGATAAAACCATCATTTTAAACAAGTTCAAGAGACTTTTAAAAATAGCAATGGAACTCTAATCAGATTGGTAATTTGGTACAGTATTCTTGGAGTGTATTTTATGAGAGTAGCATAGATATTTTTTTTTTGCTCTCCTACTGATAAATACTTAGTAAATATTTAAGATTTACAAAATGGAATATTTGCAGGAAAAACCTACTTAGCTCAACTTCTAACGGTGCTTTTATCTGCACATACTGAACTGCCTTTATGAAACATGAGCTAACAAAGCATTTTAAAAGCTACTGTTGCAGTTTTTGTCCTCCAAGAGTTAAGTATGTTTAGTTTTAAGGCATAATGTGTTGAAAACAAAACAATGGAAGAAAGTTACTGGAGCAGCCTCTTGCCCAGATGTTCGTTCACCACATTCATGTGCCAAAAGATAACTTGGAAAATACCGAGAGAACGATGGAAAGGGAAAGAATACCAGTAGAGATTAAAATATCTTTAGCTTTATTAATGTCTTCTATCATCAGGTACGCTCCTTGACTATGGTTCATTTGAACTTTTTGTAAGAAATGAGCTGGAATTAGGTTCACCTCAGTCTCTACTTGTTAAAAATCTCTTACACCTTAAGTTAAGCCATGTACTTTCTTGGGAAATGGGATGAGATTTTGATTTTTCACTTGTGAATCTTAGTTCTGGAGTTAAGGTAAGGAACATTTGCCAGCTTTTCTGCCTCACCTCCATGTCCTCCACTGGAGGAGGTGGCATTTCTGGTCCTCCCCATCCCTGAAGCTTCCTCCATGCCTCCAGGTGATGCCTGAGCACCCCAGTCCTGGGCACCTCTTTCTTTCCCTGCAGCACCCACCCAGAGAGAGCACGATTGATATATCTTTATATTGATATCTTTAGCTCATTAAGGTTGGCTGTGCTCCATCATCAGGAGATAATCAAGGCAGAAGCTCATACCCAAGGCAGGTGTGGATCTGTAAGGACCAATATTTTGGGGGAGCATCGTGTCCTGCCCCAGCCCTCCCACAGCCCCCCAGCACTTCTGTACCCTCCAATGGGGAAACACGAGGACTCTCCTCACTTCCTTCATTCCTTGTCACATTTATGGTGCTCTAAATAGAAATCTGTAGTTAATCCCATCCTAGGTGCTGGTTTCAGTTAAAACATGCACACGTGCTCTGAAAATGCAGCCTTTATTGCTCGGTATTAATTAGAAACGCAGCCCGAGATAACCTTTTGTCTGGATTAGCCTTAAGCTGATGATTTTAAATTTTTCTTGCTAGTGGGGTAAGAGCACAAAAGAGGCGAAGCTGGTTATCAGTTTGGAGATAAATCCTTAGCAAGATACAGTTCCCCCACTCAAATTAAGTACTCGCTGTCAATAACGAAGAATCTTTTTTCTATCGTTTTCATCTTTTTATGTACCGAAGATATCGCTGTCATAAGTAATCAAAAAGGCATGTTGTAGCAGATTGTTTAGCAAGATATTTTTAGCTGCCTCTTTATCTCTGAAACAATTTGAAATTGTATTTTTAGGTTATTAGCAAAGCGTTGCCTAAAAAGAATTTAAGTGCTTTGTCATGTACTTTTCACAAAAACCCATTAAAGATATTTAAAGAGAGGTTCATTGCGTTTTCTTCTGTGACATCCTGGAATCAGAAGCTTTTCTTTTTTTTTTTTTTTTTTAATGTATATTTGATTTACTTACTGCATTTATTACATGCAGAATAATTTGAGTACATTGCTACATTAAAAATCTCTTGATGTAGAAGGGCTCCGTACTCCAGGGATTTCACTTCACTGCAGCTTCAGTCACGATGGAGCGTTTAACTGGATGAGTGATTCATCCAGATCGGTTTCAGAAAAGGGAGGAATAAAAAAAAAAAAGAGAAAAAGAACTTCTAGAGGCTTGAAAACTAATGCGTTCAGATTTCAAGTTTTGAAAAGAGACTTTGTCAGATGCTTTTCTTGCAGTTTCTTGGGGAAGTGGTGAAATTCGTGGTGCCCCAGGACATTACCCCGGGGCCAGGAGTGCTGCTGTGGAAGCTGCTGCTGGCAGAGCTGGGTGACATTTACAAATGGTGACAGGCTCAGCTCTGCCTAGTGCTGAATTTTTTTGGCGTGGTCCAGTAGTGTCCTGTTAAATAAGGATGTAAAATCAGCTTGTGAGTACGTCAGG